TTCAATCGCCAATTCTAGCTAGTATCGGCTCATTGGATTCTTTAAATGAAATATCGGAATAGATCATGGAATGGAACAGTTTAAGTTTAATGGAATGGAACTGAGTAGATCAAGCTGTAAAGTGAATATACTGAATGAATTTTAACACAGTTGGGTTTGTCTTGAGAATAATACATTTTCGTTCATTCTTGTTTGTGTTTTTTCATAGCTACATCGTTTGGCATCCCAACATGGAAGCAGAAAGAGATAAATCAGTTTAAAAAATTAGTTTGCGTAGTTATTATTCTTAACACATTTACCGTTTCTGTATGAAATGGGACATTATCACAGGTATGCCTGAATGGCTCATTGAGCAATGAATAACTATGATTGAATTATCTAGGAAAAGAAAGCTGATAGCAGTAGACGTCGTCTGGAAGCCGAGAAAGAAGACAGCGAGAATGCTAAATTTGCACGAGGTATTCAATTTCAAAACGTTCTCCAATATTCAGAGAGGGGGTAGAGGGCTGATGGATTGTGACAACAGGTCTCCTTCTTTCAGAATCGCGATGAAGAGTACGAATATCGCGATCCTTCCGTTTGTTTCGGATAACATTTCATTACTTGTGATTGTTTGTCCATCCTCATTCAATTTTACGCGTATCTCTGCACTCGACAAAATTTCATGTTAACAGCCGAGTGCTTACCACAAATAACTCAGCATTCTCATGCAGCATAACCAGTGAATGGAAAAATTATTATTATTATTTATTTTATAATTATTTATTTATTTCATATTAAAGGTCGTATTGAAATGGAAGCAATCGAGAATGTCTTGAAGGAACGAGGTTTATCTCTACACGAAATATCAGCAGACGGCGATTGTCTTTATAATGCAATTGCGCATCAGTTATCGCTTATGAGTAAATCATCAAATGATAAGGTTTTCATTTCTTGTGGCACATTTTGTATATTTTACAACTCACAATGCGTGATGATACAATACAATTGAATATCCATCGTTTCATATTGTTGATCTGTCTCAATGAATTTGCGTTTCATTTATGGTTGGAGGAGGGAAATATCTTTGTTCATTTTTATCAGTTACTGGAATATTTTTATAATTCCGTATTGCTAACATTGACAGTTACAGTGTTCTTATTATCACTAATAAGGCTGGTATTATTGATAGAAATGAATTGTTGATTTGTAGATATCGATGTCTGATATTCGATCTAAAGCGGCAACGTACATTCGATCACACAAAGATGATTTCTTGCCATTTTTGAGTAGTCGTGATGGAGAGCCGATAAGTGAATTTTATTTTGATGAATACTGTAATCTTGTTGAACGTTCGTGTGAAAATGGCGGTGAATGGGGTGGAGAACCTGAGGTTAGCTCGATTATCAATACTTTGATTACGTACGCTCATTCTTATTTCCGTTTATCTGCAATCGAAGGAATTCATGGTGCATTTCTAAATGAGAAAGTAGCAGATGCTCGCTATTGTAGTGCAAAATAAGCGACATATATAACTGTGTTCCTCCCCTTTGGAAGATCTGTCCGATGGTCTGGCAGCAATAATCATAAGAACGTATGTGAAATGAGATAGGAGGAAATGTATGCTAGACGCGATACTAAAGGATATGTTCATAAACAGATTCTTGTCCTTTGTTTATTCTTATCATTGCAACTCGTTTCTTCCTATCTTTTGTTTTTATTTGTTTCTTTGCTTGCGAATACCTTAAATGGAAAGGGAAAGTGATATAACAAGAACAGTCTGCAAAAGGTGCAACAAACTTTTTGCTTCTAACTAAATAACTAACTTCTTTTCGCTTCTAACTAACTCTGTCTATCTTATTTGCCAGTGATGACAGTATATAGAGTTTCATAATCGTCAGTATCACTCTTGCAACCGATTGTGTTATTGGTGCGAACGTAATGGAGCTCGATTGTTGTTGCGGTGATGATATTGCGAAATGCGAGAGAAACACTGCAACAGAAAAGAGAAATTGGGGATAGGTTCCGTCACTGGTACATCCGCAACCAGTACTGTTGGTTGTATAAGAACGGAAAATATAGCTGCGAATCGTCAAGCAAAGATTGCCTCTGCAGTTAATAAAACTACGTGAGCGATGAGATCTTGACAGAATGTCTCCGCGGTTTGGTATAAGTTCACGTTCGGAAAGGGACGACCAGTTTGATTTCCTCAACAAACAACGCACGATTTTACTCACGATCAGTGATAAATTGTTAAGCAAAATGAAATTCAGCTCTCATATATCAATCCCATAATTATCCTTTCCGGGCCGCAAGAAAAACGTATTTAGCAAATGGAAAAACATGTGATATGGGAATAGGACTGAAATAAAAAAGGGATTAGTTGTTTTCATCGGAAGGGGTACCTTAAATATG